TTGAAAAAGCGTGTCTTTGTTCGGGATTATTTTTGCATTGTTCAGGATTTGTTCAGTGTGCTTCGGATGTTGTACGATCACTGTATAAACTAGGTTTTTGTCCCAAGCTTCAATTATCAAAACATAAATAGAAATGGATTTATGTGTTCTAGTGTGCTTAGAATGGATACTCGAATCTGTTACTTGCCATGAGTTGCTACCTAGCTTAGAAGTAATCTTGTACACTGAGACACGTGAGTCAGTATTTGAGATGATAATTGCAGTTGAGTGATTGTATTACTTACCCGCATCGTCTTCAGCAGCTTCACATTTTCATAATATGCAACGAAAGTAAATACAATATTTTATCACATGCTTATAAATCAAAATTGAATGATGAGTCATTTATTTCTGAACGTTATTACATGCTATGAAATTGCTTCTACAGCCATATGCTATCTAGTACATATATATATCTGTTTCAGAGGTTGTTTTCCAATTTACTATTCTTGCGTAACTTATGTGCGCAAACGGCCACTTCTCTTGCCTTACTTCTCATTTATTTGTGTTTTTTTTAATTATCGGATGATCAAAAATATTAGTGTGTTATCCATTGAGAAAGTGAATACCTGATAGTACAAGTATTTTATCCACTAATTTTTGATAATGATTTTTAATTCGAACAAGTAAAATGCCACTTAAAAATTTCTTCAACTCTTTGTAGCTGGAATATAACTAGTTGCTCCGAAAAACTTAGTCTTGACACATCATAACACAAGCTTGATTTTCTAAGTTGATATTGTATCTCTTATAATGTTTACTGATTTGGGTATATTCTGAATGAGCTAGAATATAATTTTCTCATATTCAATCACTTGTTTGTACTCTTTCGTGCACCGTACTATGTCTTATATAATCAGTCTATAATCAGTCTCTTTGTTGCAGCGGACTTCATCAAGTCTCATATCCAATATCTTATTCAAGACACAGTATATTGCGATTGGGTACTTTGCACTTCATTCTTGTTCCTTCAATAGGATTCCAGGTATTGAGTAGTGTTAGATGGATGCGGTTTAGACATTTGATTGTGGTTTGCGAGTTTGTACTTCCAGTGATTTTCAGGACAGTAGGACTTCCAGATACCAGAAACCATCAGATTATCAGACCGAAGATCAGTTAGTTGCAGTACGGAGAATAATAATGAGAAACTTTTCTTGGCAATAAGATTTCAGAACGAAGTAAATAAATCGATATTTTAGTTCAATAGTTGGTAGTGCGTGCTTTATATTTCATTTATCATTTATCAGGTCACATACGATTCTCTTGTTACTCAGAGGGAATAATCTTAAGCGATCGAAACTATCTTTGTAAGGTTGATTCGTCAACCGTATCACCTTTTTCGTTACTTGTCTCTGAACTCAGTCCATAAAATTTGACTTTTTTCAAGATAGAGAGTGCGGTGGCGTGGTGAATCACAGGCTGTGGTCAGATGAATGTCTCAAACAACATTAAGAATAACTATGCGGTGATAGCATCAAGTTGTCTTCGCATAACGTTAAGAGTTGCATTTTTCTTGATTGCCTCCCATATATGCGGGGGTTCCTTGTGATTGTCCGTGCTCAGAGTAGACATTAGGTACCCGACTTCCATCAAGAGTGTAAATCATCTTCCTTCTGTAGGGTATAATGTATATAACGGGACACTGCGACTGGCTTGGCTTTGGGCTGTATATGGCTGAACATTCGTACCTGGATGTAGAGTCATTTTGATGCTCAGCATCGGTCTGCCACAGGCTGAGTCCTTCTTTTCTCCTCCTTTGAAGATTGGAGAGAGAGTAGTTCGTTTCCATTCAGATGAAAGTTGATGTGACTCCACTAAATGCCTGAACAGGTCACCTATCGTTGGACGGGGGCTTCTGCACAAGGTTTCAAAACTATGAGGCAAATATTCTCATAACCGGGTGACGTAACCGAGCGTTAGGACTTTAGTTTCCTTTTCACTCAGTCCCTAAGCTGTAATCTTGCCCTACGTTTGCGTAGTACTGTGGATATCTGGTCATCTAGTTTACTTGATCGATAAAGTTTCTGTTGAAGATCTCAGACATTTCCAGGTGCTATGGATAGCATTTCGAAGGGTTTCTCAAACCGTTCGCCAGTGATCATCTACTATCATCCTTCATCACTCACGAGGCTGTGGTTCATCTTAAACGATCTCTCAAACGTGTGTAATTTGCGCCTGTGTAGCAAAGATTGTAGGCATTTAAATCCTGTCTGACTTTTCTGCTGATGATCATAATAAACAAGACTATGTCATGGTAACTAGTTCCTATTGATGTACGGACGCAAACATCCTGAACCAGGAGCTGATAGTTTGTTACTAAATAATACAGGTTTCAGGACATTCCTTCTCTGGGTCCAACTAGTGGCACTGCATAAATGCGTGATAAGCTCAGTGCTTTTAATAGATGCGTCTATTCGTTTCTGAAACCGTCGATTAGAAATCGCTATCTGAATGTTGAGAATAAGAGATGTTGTGGTGAAATCTCCAGCTAAGCAAATGTGACCGAATTCCATTAGTGATCGATGCAGTACTGTCACATCTTTACGGGCCTTGATAACAGAAGGTGGCGGAAAAATGCCTAAATCAAGTATTTCGTGTCATTTGTGTGGAAATAACACCAACACGATTCCGTGGCCTCAGTTAGTTGAGTCTCGCATACCTGCTCGTCTTTTAAGTCTATATATATATATATATATATATATATATATATATATATATATATATATATATATATATATATATATATATATATAGTCACTCCGCCTAATTTTTGCTGTACTCGATCGCATCTGAATAGTGTCAGGGCTTCCACCGTCACTTCCTTGTCTTCAGTGTCAGAGTATATCGATGTTTTAGTTAGATTGATGATCTTAAGATCCATCTGAAAGCACATATTCCTGATTTCCAACAGCTGACTACTTAGTCCTCTAACGATGCTATATGGTTTTTTTCAGCGTCTGGCGCATTTCCTCAGAAACGGCAGATGTTGAACTTTCACACAAGGTGTTTCAACGGAGAATGTCAGTTCCTTGGGAACTGGCCGGTTTCCCTTTATCAGTGAGTTCAATTGGCGAAGCTATTATTTTTGTTGATAAATGATTGAGGTCCATTGGTAACCTCGTGTGTTTATTATGGCCTTCATACCGTTATCACAAAGATGATAGCTGGCTTTCTCAAAACCTTGTGTGAATAGACAGATCGTTACTCAAACTGGACTGACTGTGAAGTGCCTACGTCCGATCTTCCACAACAATCAGATGTGGTGACTGAATAGGCGTGAGTTGTGAAGTTTGAGAAACAAAGATTTTCAAACCTGCATTTTGAGTGAAAGGTCGAGGTAGCCTGACAGTCACCACCATTGTCACATAACAATCACGTGAGCTTCATTCAGGCTACCACCTTCCAGTTCAGGCACGCAGTTAACTATCATAATGATCTCGTTGATGCCTCATTTTATTTTGGCTGCGCTCTCATCAACCTGAATTTATAATGTTTGATGCGGATTGGAGACGACAGTTTCACAGATCGTCACATTATTGGGAGAAGAACATCTTCCGTACGTTGTGTTAAACCAAGTGTGACCTTCAATATAATTGAATTTCTTTTCCAGTCGTCCTAGACTTTGAAAATGTGTCTAATTTTCGCTGAGGTATTGCATGTACAGAGAATTTCGCAGTAATAATATCATTGTTGTTTATCGCTAAACGTTTTGCGTCTAAGGTTCAGCAGTTTATTTAAGAATAACAAAACTCTCACTGTTAGATAGCTATCAAATTATTTTTTAGATGAATATAATTTAAAGAAGAATTATCTATTTTCACAAATCGATTTTCAGGAGAACTGAAATGGTTCTATTATATAAGGTGCAAATGACAAGTATTGCAAACCTAAACTGTAGTTTGTAACATCCAATACGAGTCGAAAATAAATTAAATTCAAAGTAATAATATTTGTAATTATCACTTAGTATCAACCAAAATATCTAACTACATGATATAAACGTGACTTCTAATATCGATATTTCCGTGAATATCCGAATATTATTATTAACATTATTACAGCAATTTAAACGAAAATATATATGTTACCAACTTACTTGGATCGAAAGCCCGAACAAATAACGCAAACACGAAAGTGACGGATAGCAATAAATAAAAATACTTCATTGTCAATCAGGTTGATAATTTATGAGTATATTGTTAAGATTGAAAGAGAAATCTGAGATATATATGATACGAAAATATGACCTTCATTATAAATAATGAAAGTGTGCTTAGAAATACGCACGAACTCAAAAGGATGAACAAATTAGCTAGCAAAAACAACCAAAAAAATGTTAGTCAGTAAATATGAAGGAATTCAGAAATATTGTATGAAGGCTAAAAATCATATTCTATAAAAACATACAAGCTAAAAAACCAGTAAAATATGATACAACATTTGAATAAACGGTGTAAATACGATAAAAAATTCCGATAAAAAAAAATCATGCGTGAAACAAAAGATATTGAGAAGATAGCAAGCCTAATAATTATTACAAATGACAAGACCAACATTAACGAAACCATTGATTTTTACAAATCCAGATCTTTGTCTCTCAATCCAAATTCCTTTAGATTTTTAATGGTTTGTTGACCTTATTATCACGACGTTTTTTGGAATAAACAATCATTTTGTTTGTGTGATTTGGCATGATATTATCATCTAGGTGAACTTCAATGTTATCACTACCAGTCACTGAATTGAAGCGTGAGCACTATAATTTGCTCAATATTAGGTCGCTGAATAGATATTTGCAAATACAAAGATTGTTTGTAGTACTACTCTCTCCTATTGAGTAAAACGGGCAACTGCCTCTGAAAACAGTGAAACAACAACCGTTCATAATTTTAGTATGAGCGATCATGTCAGTGTGGAACACAATACATCAGCCTGTATGGAAAAGTACAATGTGCTTGTTTCTAGTGTCCGTTACGTAATGTTTCAAAAACTCTGTAAAATGTTAGTGATGATGATGATGATGATGATGATGATGATGATGATGATGATGATGATGATGATGATGATGATGATGATGATGATGATGATGATGATGATGATGATGATGACGATGATGATGATGATGATGATGATGATGATGATGATGATGATGATGATGATGATGATGATGATGATGATGATGATGATGATGATGATGATGATGATGATGATGATGATGATGACGATGATGATGATGATGATGATGATGATGATGATGATGATGATGATGATGATGATGATGATGATGATGATGATGATGATGATGATGATGATGATGATGATGATGATGATGATGATGATGATGATGATGATGATGATGATGATGATGATGATGATGATGATGATGATGATGATGATGATAATGATGATGATGATGATGATGATGATGATGATGATGATGATGATGATGATGATGATGATGATGATGATGTCTGTGATTATCACAGCACGGTATAAACTAGTAACATGAATAACACCATTAAATTTCCATGCTTTCTTCTCAGTGTGCTTCTTGTCGAATGAAAATGTTAGGAATTGTGTTTTTGATCAATGTGATAACATCAGTTGTGTTTGTAATTCTGTCAATGTTCCAGACGAGCTGCACTGTTGCGTAGTATACTGCCAGAGATTGACTCGTTACTCACGAATTGAATAGATGAGGATTCTTCTAGTTTTTTTCATATATCCATATTGAAATATATATACTTCTTTAGAAATATGAATGGTCATTAATATATATATACATGCATATGCATGTATAGATATATGTATAATTTGAGTTCTCTAAACCACTCTGTCGAGCAAAGAAAATTAACTGCTAAATATAATGGATTGCAGTGGATTCATTTCGTTGTTCACAATCGGTGGCAACAGCGACGATATTTTATTTATTCAAGCTCACTCAGCTACTTCACCAGAAATTACAGTGCAACAATTTGTTGGTGAAGAATGTCTTATGTTGTCGAAATAAAATTACGGTGAAATGTGTAAGCGAATCATCTCCAAATAACAACGTTGCCTGCATTTCCAATCAGTAGTGCACTCTTTGTTCATGAACTCCACTACTTATAAATCTGCTGAAATAATTGACAGTGTCGCAATTACTTCTGGTACTACTTCCACTCAGATGGCTGCAACAATCCGTAAACTATCAAAACGTGCCTAATTTTCCGAAAAATCCCTTGTCTGGACCATGTGGTGTACACTGCTGTTTTCTGCATATGGAATCACAAAATCTAGTTATCACTTCAAAAGTTCAGTGCCTCCTGTTCTCAGTCAATCGCAACACAGATGTGAAGAATTCGAAATTTCTTTTCACTTCCATCCATTCAAGTGTAGTATAGGGTCCATTATTCTCACCATACTCAAGCCAGTCAGCGAAGATAGCTCGCTCCAAGGTTCATCCAATTGAATCGACTGACGAAAATGAAACAATTGCTTTTTACAAATCCAGATCTTTGTCTCTCAATCCAAATTCCTTTAGATTTTTAATGGTTTGTTGACCTTATTATCACGACGTTTTATGGAATAAACAATCATTTTGTTTGTGTGATTTGGCATGATATTATCATCTAGGTGAACTTCAATGTTATCACTACCAGTCACTGAATTGAAGCGTGAGCACTATAATTTGCTCAATATTAGGTCGTGGAATAGATATTTGCAAATACAAAGATTGTTTGTAGTACTACTCTCTCCTATTGAGTGAAACGGGCAACTGCCTATGAAAAGAGTGAAACAACAACCGCTCATTCTTTTAGTATGAGCGATCATGTCAGTGTGGAACACAATACATCAGCCTGTATGGTAAGGGACAATGTGCTTGTTGCCAGTGTCCGTTACGTAATGTTTGAAACAGTCTGTAAAATATTAGTCATGATGATGATGATGATGATGATGATGATGATGATGATGATGATGATGATGATGCTGATGATGACTGTGATTATCACAGCACGGTATAAACTAGTAACATGAATAACACCAATTAATTTCCATGCTTTCTTCTCAGTGTGCTTCTTGTCGAATGAAAATGTTAGGAATTGTGTTTTTGATCAATGTGATAACATCAGTTGTGTTTGTAATTCTGTCAATGTTACCGACGAGCTGCACTGTTGCGTAGTATACTGCCAGAGATTGACTCGTTACTCACGAATTGAATAGATGAGGATTCTTCTAGTTTTTTTTACATATATCCATATTTAAATATATATACTTCTTTAGAAATATGAATGGTCATGAATATATGTATATATTCATATGCATGTATAGATATATGTATAATTTGAGTTCTCTAAACCACTCTGTCGAGCAAAGAAAATTAACTGCTAAATATAATGGATTGCAGTGGATTCATTTCGTTGTTCACAATCGGTGGCAACAGCGACGATATTTTATTTATTCAAGCTCACTCAGCTACTTCACCAGAAATTACAGTGCAACAATTTGTTGGTGAAGAATGTCTTATGTTGTCGAAATAAAATTACGGTGAAATGTGTAAGCGAATCATCTCCAAATAACAACGTTGCCTGCATTTCCAATCAGTAGTGCACTCTTTGTTCATGAACTCCACTACTTATAAATCTGCTGAAATAATTGACAGTGTCGCAATTACTTCTGGTACTACTTCCACTCAGATGGCTGCAACAATCCGTAAACTATCAAAACGTGCCTAATTTTCCGAAAAATCCCTTGTCTGGACCATGTGGTGTACACTGCTGTTTTCTGCATATGGAATCACAAAATCTAGTTATCACTTCAAAAGTTCAGTGCCTCCTGTTCTCAGTCAATCGCAACACAGATGTGAAGAATTCGAAATTTCTTTTCACTTCCATCCATTCAAGTGTAGTATAGGGTCCATTATTCTCACCATACTCAAGCCAGTCAGCGAAGATAGCTCGCTCCAAGGTTCATCCAATTGAATCGACTGACGAAAATGAAACAATTGCTTTTTACAAATCCAGATCTTTGTCTCTCAATCCAAATTCCTTTAGATTTTTAATGGTTTGTTGACCTTATTATCACGACGTTTTATGGAATAAACAATCATTTTGTTTGTGTGATTTGGCATGATATTATCATCTAGGTGAACTTCAATGTTATCACTACCAGTCACTGAATTGAAGCGTGAGCACTATAATTTGCTCAATATTAGGTCGCTGAATAGATATTTGCAAATACAAAGATTGTTTGTAGTACTACTCTCTCCTATTGAGTAAAACGGGCAACTGCCTATGAAAAGAGTGAAACAACAACCGCTCATTCTTTTAGTATGAGCGATCATGTCAGTGTGGAACACAATACATCAGCCTGTATGGTAAGGGACAATGTGCTTGTTGCCAGTGTCTGTTACGTAATGTTTCAAAAAGTCTGTAAAACGTTAGTGATGATGATGATGATGATGATGATGATGATGATGATGATGATGCTGATGCTGACTGTGATTATCACAGCACGGTATAAACTAGTAACATGAATAACACCAATTAATTTCCATGCTTTCTTCTCAGTGTGCTTCTTGTCGAATGAAAATATTAGGAATTTTGTTTTTGATCAACGTGATAACATCAGTTGTGTTTGTAATTCTGTCAATGTTACCGACGAGCTGCACTGTTGCGTAGTATACTGCCAGAGATTGACTCGTTACTCACGAATTGAATAGATGAGGATTCTTCTAGTTTTTTTACATAAATCCATATTTAAATATATATACTTCTTTAGAAATATGAATGGTCATGAATATATGTATATATTCATATGCATGTATAGATATATGTATAATTTGAGTTCTCTAAACCACTCTGTCGAGCAAAGAAAATTAACTGCTAAATATAATGGATTGCAGTGGATTCATTTCGTTGTTCACAATCGGTGGCAACAGCGACGATATTTTATTTATTCAAGCTCACTCAGCTACTTCACCAGAAATTACAGTGCAACAATTTGTTGGTGAAGAATGTCTTATGTTGTCGAAATAAAATTACGGTGAAATGTGTAAGCGAATCATCTCCAAATAACAACGTTGCCTGCATTTCCAATCAGTAGTGCACTCTTTGTTCATGAACTCCACTACTTATAAATCTGCTGAAATAATTGACAGTGTCGCAATTACTTCTGGTACTACTTCCACTCAGATGGCTGCAACAATCCGTAAACTATCAAAACGTGCCTAATTTTCCGAAAAATCCCTTGTCTGGACCATGTGGTGTACACTGCTGTTTTCTGCATATGGAATCACAAAATCTAGTTATCACTTCAAAAGTTCAGTGCCTCCTGTTCTCAGTCAATCGCAACACAGATGTGAAGAATTCGAAATTTCTTTTCACTTCCATCCATTCAAGTGTAGTATAGGGTCCATTATTCTCACCATACTCAAGCCAGTCAGCGAAGATAGCTCGCTCCAAGGTTCATCCAATTGAATCGACTGACGAAAATGAAACAATTGCTTTTTACAAATCCAGATCTTTGTCTCTCAATCCAAATTCCTTTAGATTTTTAATGGTTTGTTGACCTTATTATCACGACGTTTTATGGAATAAACAATCATTTTGTTTGTGTGATTTGGCATGATATTATCATCTAGGTGAACTTCAATGTTATCACTACCAGTCACTGAATTGAAGCGTGAGCACTATAATTTGCTCAATATTAGGTCGCTGAATAGATATTTGCAAATACAAAGATTGTTTGTAGTACTACTCTCTCCTATTGAGTAAAACGGGCAACTGCCTATGAAAAGAGTGAAACAAAAACCGCTCATTCTTTTAGTATGAGCGATCATGTCAGTGTGGAACACAATACATCAGCCTGTATGGTAAGGGACAATGTGCTTGTTGCCAGTGTCTGTTACGTAATGTTTCAAAATGTCTGTAAAACGTTAGTGATGATGATGATGATGATGATGATGATGATGATGATGATGATGCTGATGCTGACTGTGATTATCACATCACGGTATAAACTGGTAACATGAATAACACCAATTAATTTCCATGCTTTCTTCTCAGTGTGCTTCTTGTCGAATGAAAATATTAGGAATTTTGTTTTTGATCAACGTGATAACATCAGTTGTGTTTGTAATTCTGTCAATGTTACCGACGAGCTGCACTGTTGCGTAGTATACTGCCAGAGATTGACTCGTTACTCACGAATTGAATAGATGAGGATTCTTCTAGTTTTTTTTACATATATCCATATTTAAATATATATACTTCTTTAGAAATATGAATGGTCATGAATATATGTATATATTCATATGCATGTATAGATATATGTGTAATTTGAGTTCTCTAAACCACTCTGTCGAGCAAAGAAAATTAACTGCTAAATATAATGGATTGCAGTGGATTCATTTCGTTGTTCACAATCGGTGGCAACAGCGACGATATTTTATTTATTCAAGCTCACTCAGCTACTTCACCAGAAATTACAGTGCAACAATTTGTTGGTGAAGAATGTCTTATGTTGTCGAAATAAAATTACGGTGAAATGTGTAAGCGAATCATCTCCAAATAACAACGTTGCCTGCATTTCCAATCAGTAGTGCACTCTTTGTTCATGAACTCCACTACTTATAAATCTGCTGAAATAATTGACAGTGTCGCAATTACTTCTGGTACTACTTCCACTCAGATGGCTGCAACAATCCGTAAACTATCAAAACGTGCCTAATTTTCCGAAAAATCCCTTGTCTGGACCATGTGGTGTACACTGCTGTTTTCTGCATATGGAATCACAAAATCTAGTTATCACTTCAAAAGTTCAGTGCCTCCTGTTCTCAGTCAATCGCAACACAGATGTGAAGAATTCGAAATTTCTTTTCACTTCCATCCATTCAAGTGTAGTATAGGGTCCATTATTCTCACCATACTCAAGCCAGTCAGCGAAGATAGCTCGCTCCAAGGTTCATCCAATTGAATCGACTGACGAAAATGAAACAATTGCTTTTTACAAATCCAGATCTTTGTCTCTCAATCCAAATTCCTTTAGATTTTTAATGGTTTGTTGACCTTATTATCACGACGTTTTATGGAATAAACAATCATTTTGTTTGTGTGATTTGGCATGATATTATCATCTAGGTGAACTTCAATGTTATCACTACCAGTCACTGAATTGAAGCGTGAGCACTATAATTTGCTCAATATTAGGTCGCTGAATAGATATTTGCAAATATAAAGATTGTTTGTAGTACTACTCTCTCCTATTGAGTAAAACGGGCAACTGCCTATGAAAAGAGTGAAACAACAACCGCTCATTCTTTTAGTATGAGCGATCATGTCAGTGTGGAACACAATACATCAGCCTGTATGGTAAGGGACAATGTGCTTGTTGCCAGTGTCTGTTACGTAATCTTTGAAACAGTCTGTAAAATATTAGTCATGATGATGATGACGATGATGATGATGATGATGATGATGATGATGATGATGATGATGATGATGATGATGATGATGATGATGATGATGATGATGATGATGATGATGATGATGATGATGATGATGATGATGATGATGATGATGATGATGATGATGATGATGATGATGATGATGATGATGATGATGATGATGATGATGATGATGATGATGATGATGATGATGATGATGATGATGATGATGATGATGATGATGATGATGATGATGATGATGATGATGACTGTGATTATCACATCACGGTATAAACTGGTAACATGAATAACACCATTAAATTTCCATGCTTTCTTCTCAGTGTGCTTCTGGTCGAATGAAAATGTTAGGAATTGTGTTTTTGATCAATGTGATAACATCAGTTGTGTTTGTAATTCTGTCAATGTTCCCGACGAGCTGCACTGTTGCGTAGTATACTGCCAGAGATTGACTCGTTACACACGAATTGAATAGATGAGGATTCTTCTAGTTTTTTTTACATATATCCATATTTAAATATATATACTTCTTTAGAAATATGAATGGTCATGAATATATATATATATGCATATGCATGTATAGATATATGTATAATTTGAGTTCTCTAAACCACTCTGTCGAGCAAAGAAAATTAACTGCTAAATATAATGGATTGCAGTGGATTCATTTCGTTGTTCACAATCGGTGGCAACAGCGACGATATTTTATTTATTCAAGCTCACTCAGCTACTTCACCAGAAATTACAGTGCAGCAATTTGTTGGTGAAGAATGTCTTATGTTGTCGAAATAAAATTACGGTGTAATGTGTAAGCGAATCATCTCCAAATAACAACGTTGCCTGCATTTCCAATCAGTAGTGCACTCTTTGTTCATGAACTCCACTACTTATAAATCTGCTGAAATAATTGACAGTGTCGCAACTACTTCTGGTACTACTTCCACTCAGATGGCTGCAACAATCCGTAAACTATCAAAACGTGCCTAATTTTCCGAAAAATCCCTTGTCTGGACGATGTGGTGTACACTGCTGTTTTCTGCATATGGAATCACAAAATCTAGTTATCACTTCAAAAGTTCAGTGCCTCCTGTTCTCAGTCAATCGCAACACAGATGTGAAGAATTCGAAATTTCTTTTCACTTCCATCCATTCAAGTGTAGTATAGGGTCCATTATTCTCACCATACTCAAGCCAGTCAGCGAAGATAGCTCGCTCCAAGGTTCATCCAATTGAATCGACTGACGAAAATGAAACAATTGCTTTTTACAAATCCAGATCTTTGTCTCTCAATCCAAATTCCTTTAGATTTTTAATGGTTTGTTGACCTTATTATCACGACGTTTTATGGAATAAACAATCATTTTGTTTGTGTGATTTGGCATGATATTATCATCTAGGTGAACTTCAATGTTATCACTACCAGTCACTGAATTGAAGCGTGAGCACTATAATTTGCTCAATATTAGGTCGCTGAATAGATATTTGCAAATAATACGATTATTTGTAGTACTGTAGTGAATGAGAACACAGGTGGCGGCAACCGAATTTCATTTATCGAAAATTACAGAGTTACTCAATAAAATCGGACAACCATATCCTCACTCGTTCATTTAAAAAAGATTAGTTCATCCTATGGAACGGGACTGTTCCTTTTGCCAAACATCAATCCATTGTCACTATTCATGCGTTTCAGTCAAATTCCATTGTTTCTAACTCTTCCTTTCCTGATCTTCCCCACATATTATGCTACCAGACTTTACGTTGACACTCACGTTATATACTAATTATAAGTAGTTCGCACCACAGCACCACAGTACTACTCTCTCCTATTGAGTAAAACGGGAAACTGCCTATGAAAAGAGTGAAACAACAACTGCACACACTTTTAGTATGAGCGATCATGTCAGTGTGGAACATAATCCTTCGGCCTTTATCATAAAACTGCTTTGTATTTACGCTCAGTTTTTGTTGTATGGCATTTGCGTCATTCTTTTCAAGTTTTCTCTCTTCACTTTCTACGCTTGCAGGATTAAGCTGTTCACTTTTTTCGAAATGCCTTAACTTGCGTATGAACCATCTTCTATACATGCTACGCGCAACTGTTTACTGAAGAAAATTCTTTGCATAGGGTAATTATTCCATTGTTCAAACACAACCTTCTCAAGCACACAAATGAATTTATTTATATATCTTCACTGTTGTTCGTCCCTGTGTGAGAAGATACTTTCTGTAATGGAGAACAGCTTGTTTTCTGAGTTGATTCCCGTTGCGTTCCTGCTGGTTGGTTGAAAGTTTCAAGGTGAATCTCGAGGAAAAGATTGGTATCTGTTGATTAGCACTCTGAAGCTAGCCTTGCGCGTATATGATTTAGTTGGCGCGACCATTCATCTTGTCTGTACCAGTGTTGATGCATTACTCCGATACATCAGGCTTCTTCAAACAGAGGTTTCTGCTAGGGACTTTTGCTATGGTATTGTCGAATTTGGTGTTGTTTGATAAACGTAACGCGTTAGCTGGTGTCTTTTCTACTCATGACTTACCGAAAGCTCTTCTAAACGTATCCAAAAATCTTAACGCTTGCGAATTCGATTGCTGTTGGTGTAGAATTTATTTTGAATGTTTTGTTTTTTGGTAAATCCCTCCAAGTGTATATATTTGTGTTATGATTTAACTGACTCTTTCTGTTGACATTTTGGTGCTTTATTTGATTCCATTTAAAGATTTTATCATTGTATATTGTTATTATTTCTATATCTTGTACTTATATTGAAGTTTTTATGTTTGCTTCTGAACTGTACATATGTTGTTTAAATTTGATATTTATTATGGCTACAGTCATATTTGGATTCGATACTGTAACAGTAACGGACTGGAAGCACTTAGTCTTCTGGAAATGGATAGCCATCGCGGTAATTTGGAACTCGAAGGTGTGATATTGTTTTGGTAATTGTCTGTATTTCCATTTTATTGATTAATAGAACCGTTTTCTCCCAGAATTATTGTGTTTTGTTCCTGATCTTGGGGTGATCGCGTATCAACCTACGCAATTCGAGACGGAGTGAACTGTTAGAGTAGAAAATCCATTTACAGTTCAAAACAATAGAAGAAAAGAGAAGCCCTTGGGATTTTTATCGCTTACAATCTCAAAACGCTTCCTGGAAGAACAACCTTTGGATTACTTATCATTTATGACTTTTAAACTGTATTTTGGAAAACGATCTTTTGGTTCTTTTGGATTTCTCATTGACGAAGAAGCTCTACCGGTGAAATTTTATATTTGGTCTTTGTTATTTCCTTTTCGTTGACTTTCAGTTGATCATGAGTTCTCGTAAGAAGGCAAATACGAAGAGAGATTGAGTCCTTGAAGAATCGCGGGATATGAGGCAAGTTCCATCACTTGATCATGAATGTTTCGTGACAAAGCATCTGCCTGACCGAATTGTAGAGTGCGTCGATATTGAATTTTGAATTCATACCCCGAAAGCACCAAGGCCAATCGCTGGCGACAATTTGCAGAATGAACTGGAATGCAAGACTTCGAAGCGAATACTGCTAATAGAATCTCGTGATCTGTGAGGAGCCTTATTCTACCACTGTAAAGAAACTTGTGGAAACGGAGAACAGCAACACAAGAGTGAGATTGTCTTTCTCTATCTGACTGTACTTCATTTCTGCTGAGGTGAGTGTAGGGCATGCATGCATAACGGCTTTTTCCGACGTCTCTCTAAACTTATGTGAAATAACAACCCCTAGGCCATTAGCGGAAGAGTATATTGCTACAACCATGGGCTTTAAGTTTCAAGATCGAATAATTTTTGTATACCTCTCGAAGTTAAACCAGCTGGGTTCTGTGACGAACTTACATATTCCATTTGTTCAACCTTCGTATGATGGTATACAAACGCGGGACAACTGGCGATTTAGCTACTTAATTAGGTTAATCACAATCATAGAATCTTTGTGGAAGTTCACTGCGCAGAAAACATTAAGTAGACTCCTCCATAAAACTTCACTTAACGTTACACCTAAAACCGCTGCCGCCATCTCATGCCACGTCCTCCTGCTTTGTTTTTTAGGTGCTACCCTAGACTTGATTTATAACAACATACAGTATGGTGGTTTTTTTCAATTAACCAACTTGTGCGTAAGCAACTGCTTCATAACGGATCTCCGAGACATAAATGAATAAACGTAACTCCGCTTTTGCATCAAGTTCTTCGTATCTGTTTTTGATCCCCCGCACTACCGTAACGTGACCTAGCTGACACATAAAATTCAACCAATAGAGCCACCTGTGCATGTATGGCTAGTTAAGAGGCTGATATAATCCTATTTGAGATCTAAATAATCTTTGCATGAGTAGTTTGGCAGTGAAGCAGACAGCATTAGTTTGACATATAAGGTCGAACATGTACGAGACTACCGATAGAATCCCTCTTCTAAGAGCAAAACTTATTACACCTCGACTGAAATCTCATTCTACACCTACAGTTCCATGACTGACATAGGAACTCATTGACATTGCTATCAAAGACTATTCCTTACACACGTCAAGCAAGATGATCCCCAATTCTTCCGCGTTGGTGATCCATTTTATTTAAGACCTACTCCACATAACAATTCACTTATCTGCCTAACACACTTCTTCGCTTGCTCACAAGTTGAAAGGATCTCAAGTAATCGTGAACATAGTAATTCTTCTTGACAGCATCTACAACATAACTTTTATCGATATCCGTGAATTTTGGCGTGGTCTGGAGCACTCATTCAGAATCGCAAACACTCTTTGTTAACATAAGAGAAATAACAGTGGTAATATTGTTTAAGTTATTATGTATATTTATATATTTATGAACCATAGTACGACTGTTGCTTAGTACATTTACTTTTCTTAGACTTTTTTGGGCGAGGAATCGTATCTAAATTTCTCAAACAGTTATTTCTAAATCCAAACCTCAGTTAGGATTGCACAGTTTTAAACAATATTATTCGATTTGAGTCGTTGGAGTGTACAGATCCAAACAATATAAATAGATAGGAGATTTTCAGCTAGTGTTTCCTCGATTTCAGTTACCACAATGAAAAAATTCACGTAAAACGTAGCCTGGTCCAAGTGTCGTTGGAAGTCAAGGCGATTAACTGACACAACGAATTATCTATAATAAACCAAGTGCCTTTTGACATCGTTATAAGCGATGGTTCACATTCAGATAGGGCCGATTATTGTGATAGTGTCTCCAGTCGAAGGTCG